GTGTCATCATGGGAAATCCCTTCAGATCCAACGTTAATAACGCATTGCAATATCGCAGCAAAAAAACTCCACCGGAGCCCTGGACCCAATCTCTCTCTCTCTCTCTCTCTGCGGCAATTCTCGGGCCGCATCGATCCGCGAGGACCCCAGGGCTCGAAACACGGCAATACATCGCCCCTTGCAACAAGATCTCTGGATGCCTCCTAAATTGGGTCCGAATGGATGGGGTCGGAAGATCGCGCCGCATCCCCGATGCATCGACGATGTATTGCCTTTGGCGATGCATCGGCGACGTCAGCGATGTATCGGCGAAGCCAGTGTGAAGACACTCGGGATCCACCTCGCGCCGCGTCGGCGATGCGGAGCGGATCCTCCGACCCCATCTGCTCGGACCCGACCCCACTTGGGAAGCCGGGGATCTCCAGGGGTCCGCGGACTGAGCACGTCGCACCATCGGAGGTCTGGGGGTCCTGCTCCGGAGCGCCCGCGGGCGCGGGCGCGGGCGCGCAGACGAACACCTCGCCCTCGCCGGACAGGCAGAGCACCCCAGGCCGGCACTCCCCCTCCTCGGCGGGGGGGATGAGGGCCCTCTGTTACGGTCAGGTCGGGCCTGTCCCCCTACGGGGGTGTTGTGGACGAAACATGAAAATACCCCCGAAATGCTGCAAAATTGCAAACGCTAGGCAACACACATCGTCCCCACACCATTTTTTTGTTGGACTACTTTTGACTGTTCCCCCTGTAGATGGACAGGCCCGAGTGAGTAGTTCGGTCAGGAGCTCTTGCTCCGCGCGTCGCGGCGGCGGCCTCGGCGACACGCCATGCCTTGCAAGCAGGCGGCGCGGCGCTCCGCTCCGCTCCGCAGCATCCTCGGCTCAAGCCGCTCCGGCTCAAGCAAGGCAGCGGCGGCGGCCTCGGCGACACGCCATGCCTTGCAGGCAGGCGGCGCGACGCTCCGCTCCGCTCCGCAGCATCCTCGGCTCAAGCCGCCCTGGCTCAAGCGAGGCAGCAGCGCCGGGTTCGCGCTCCAGCTGCCCGGCCGCGCTGCCGTGCCGTCTGCTTGAGCCCCACGTCCTTTTGGTCACGGCTGCCGAGCGGCTTGGGCCGGGGGGCTCCGCCAGGGCTCTCAGCGCCTGCTGCTTGGAGCGAGGCCTCCGCTTCCGCCACCCTGCACTGCGTGGCAGTTCGAGCAAGCCTTGTCCCGTGCTGCGCCCAGCGCTGCGCCATCGGCTGGCCACGCGGAACGCGACCGCGGCGCTGCAGAGAGCCCACCCGTCTTGGACGCTGGCTTCAGCGGGCGGCGCGGAACGGCTGTCCTGGCCCTGCAGCACGCCGCCTGTGGCTTCGCCTGTCGGCGGCGGCTCCATGGAGCCCCGCCTTGGAATGCCTTCCGCCGTGGCCCTCGGACGTTTCCCTCGCGCCGCCGGCGCCGCCGCTGGCCTGCGCAGGGAAACGAGCGGCAGCCGCTCCGACGATCCAGGCTGGCGCCCGCCGCTTCAAGGGCTCCCAACTTCGCGCTTCGCGCTGCGCGAAGCGCGAAGCGCGAATAACTTCGCGCTCTCGCGCCGCCCCCCCAAAGGGAGAATAGGAGGACGAGGAGGAGGGGGAGAAGGAACGAGGACCGCGAAGCGCGAATAACTTCGCGCCCTCGAGGGAGCCCTTGCTTCCTGCAGCAGCGCGCGCACGGCGAGGCGGGGAGGGCGCAGCGGCGACGCAGCACTGGACGGGCGGGCTGCCTGCGGTGCCCCTTTGATGGTGCGGACGCAGCCGTCCGCGCGTCCTTCACCGTCCTTGCCCCTCGGAGCCAAGACTAGGGCTCCCAACTTCGCGCTTCGCGCTGCGCGAAGCGCGAAGCGCGAATAACTTCGCGCTCTCGCGCCGCCCTCCCAGAAGGAGAATAGGAGGACGAGGAGGAGGGGGAGAAGGAACGAGGACCGCGAAGCGCGAATAACTTCGCGCCCTCGAGGGAGCCCTTGCAAGATGTGAGCCCACAGGAGCGACGTCCTGATTTTTTCAGTGCGGCGTCCCGGGAAGTCCAGGCGCTTTCCCCGGGACCGGATTTGCACCCTGAGCCGGTTTTTGACGGTCCCAGGGCCCTGCGAGGGCCTCCAGGGGCAGAACAGAATGGAAAACTGACCGTCCTGATTTTTTCACGACGCGATCATGTCTGGGAGTCTGAAGTCCCTCATTTTCCCTGTTTGCAGTGGGCTGTAACTGCCACGAGGTGGTCGTTCAGGATCCAAGCCGCGGCCTTCAAGCGGTGCGGCCTGGACGAGGCGCTCACCTTCTTCGAGACACTCGACCTCTCGCAGGGTACGGCGCTCTTTCGTCTCGATGAATTGGTCCAATTCTTGGTCGCGGATGCCCCGCGCTTCACGCACCTGGCAGTAGCCGCTATTGGGCCGTTTTGGGCCCCTTTGGGGCGCCTCTGGAGTCGTCTTGGGACGATCTTTGGGGTCTTTTGGGCCGTCTTGGGCCCGTGCTCGCCCACGACATGAAGTCGACGCGAGTGGGCCCCTCCAGGCATGGTTTCGAGAATCAGCTGACAGGTGGGTCGCCTCTGGGGTGCGTGTCTCCCTGCAGGTGGACCCCGTCATCCACACGCGACGGGTTCGTCTGGTCGGGGTCCTCTCCCAAATCGACGTCTGCATCGAGTGGGGGTTGAACTTTCGGGGATGGACAGACCCCCCTTTAGTAAAACGTGGTTTAGTGAAAACGACCTGAGGCCCAAACCTGGCGGGCGCAAGCCTGGAAAATAACGGCCACGGCGCCCTCTCTCGAGAACCGAAAACGGACAATTCACTAATCGACGTGTCACTGTTGGGGGTTCTGTCCACCCCCGAAACTTCTTCATGGACGCCGCAAGGCCATCCGCGAGCTCCGGGATTTGGGCGGTTGGCACCGCCGAGCCGGGCACGTATGCAGGACGAGATGCGGCCCTGGCTGCAGACCGCGGCGGGGCGGCCGAGCTGCGGAAGCGCCAGGTGAGAGTCCGCGCCGCGGAGGTGCTGGAGTTAGGTCGGGCCTGTCCCCCTACAGGGGGATTTTGGGCGACAAATTAAACATGGTCCAACAAAACTCCCCAAATGCTCGAAAATATATAGAAAATAGTCCCCAGACTATGTTTTGACTATTTTTTGAGCATCCCTCCTGTAGAGGGACAGGCCCGACTTGATGCTGGAGGGCTCGGCCGCGTCGAGGAGGCGTCGCAGAGGGCCCGCTGCCACGGTGCCCGGCGACGAGAGCATCCACGGCGCGCAGCGGCAGGGGCGGGAGGGGCATCCTGGCCGCCCGGGGGGAGGACGCCCCGCCGGGCGCCGCGTCTCCCCCGCAGCAGGCAGATCCGTGCGCGCCCGCGGGCGTCGGGCGCGGCGAAGCCCGCGACGCTGCAGCTGATGCAGCGGCTTCGCCGGGGGGCCATGCCGACCATCGTGGCGACGCGGACGGGGAGGCGAATCACCGTGGACGTGGAGGCCAACGACCCTGTCCACGCGGCGAAAGCCCGCATCCAAGATATTCGCGGCCTCCCTGTGGCCAGTCAGCGCCCGATCTTCGCCGGAGGAGTGCTGGAGGATGGTGGCGTGCTCTCGGACTGCATCATCCACGAGTCCGTGGTGCACCTAGTGCTGACGGATCTGGATCGACACTGTGGCCCCCGTGCTGCATCTGACCCAAACATGCGACGTCCTGATTTTTTCAGGACGGCGTCCCCCGAAGTCCCGACCCTTTCCCCAGGACCGGCTTTTCGTACCGAGTCGTTTTTCGACGGTCCCGGGGCCCAGCGAGGGTCCCAAGAGGCCGACAATAATGAAAAATCTGCCGTCCTGATATTATTTTGTCGACGCGAGCATGTCTGGGTCTGATGCTGCGCAGCAAGATGCGGGAGGCGACGCTGCAGCTGCTGCTGCGGCGGTCCTCGGCCTCTGTCGGAGCGCAGCTGCACGGCTGGGCCTAAAAGGACCTCCCCGCCTGGCTCGACCCTGCATGGGACGTCGCCGAAGCGAGGCGATGGGCGGAGTCGGTGGTGCGCCAACCACTGGAGCACCGCGAGCCGCTGGAGTGCCGGGATCCCCACGTGCGAGCAGTGGCAGCCCCAGACATGATCGCGTCGTGAAAAAATCTGGACGGGAAATTTTTCGGGCCCTGGGACCGTCCAAAAACGACTCAGGATGAAAACCGGCCCCGGGGAACGGGTCTGGACTTCCGGGGACGCCGCACTTAAAAAATCAGGACGTCGCACGTCTGGGGCGAACTCTGGCGCTGCTCAAGAAGATTGCGGGTGGCGAAGACGAGCCCGACCTCCAGCCGCTACAGGGGCAGGGCGGGCAGTGGGAGCTGGGACGGACGGCAGTGGCAGCATGGTGGGAGGAGCGGGGAGGGACGGCAGTGGTGGAGAGGTGAGGGACGGCAGTCGAGCGGGGAGGGACAGCAGCGGCAAGTGGAGGCGGTGGAGCGGGCGGCGGCGGAACGGGAGGAGGGTCAGGAGGAGTTGGTGACCAGCACGCGCGAGAAAGGCGAGCCGTGGCATCTGGTCCCCGGTGCTGCTCAGCGAGATGTGGGAGGTGCAGCTGGACCCCACCAGCATCGGGAGAGCTCCAGCGCCCCGGTCAGCGCGTGCAGTGGCGGCTGGAGCGGTCGCTGCTCCGAGAGACGTGGGTGCCGAGCCTGTGCGAGAAGGGAGGGCAGCGGTGAAGGGGCCCTGGGACACACAAATAAATACACACAAATAAAAAGATTCTCCATATTTTTCCGTATCTTCTGGGGTTCTGTCTTCCCCCCACTTCCCATATTTTCCGATATTTTCTGGGGGATCGACGATTAATTGTGTCTGTGTGTTTTTCCCCTCCTGAAGTGGGAGAGGGGAGAGACGGCAGTGGCTGCACGGTGGGAACGGAAAGGGACGGCAGTGGCAGCCAGGGTGGGAACGGGACGGCAGTGACAGCGCACGTGGAGCGCGGAGGAGCGGCAGTGGCGGCGGTGGACCGGGAGGGCCAGGTGGCGGTGGTGGAGCGGGAGGGCCAGGAGGAGAATGGCGGGCGATGCCGTCGTCGTCGACCCTGGTTCCTGGCGAGGGCCCACCCGGGCCCTCGCTGGATCATCACACGTTGCTGCACCGATCAGGTGCTCCTGGGACGTCTGGAGTGGGGAGGGGCGGCAGCGGTAGCGGTGAAGCGGGAGGGCCAGGAGGTCGTGGTGGACTCCCAGCGGCGGGTTCTGTCGCTGCTCAGCGAGATGTCGGCGGTGAAGGTAGAGCCGGCCAGAGCGAGCCGTGGCACCCGGCCCCGTCGCTGCTCAGCGAAACTCTGGTGGTGAGGCTGAAGCCTGCCGTCATCAGCTCCAGCGCCTCGACTTCCGCGTGCGAGGAAGGCGAGCAGGGGCAGCCAGCCCCGCTGCTGCTCAATGAGACGCGGGCGGTGAAGATGGAGCTCGCGCGTGAGAAGGGCGGGCAGTGGCCGCGAGCTCTGGCGCAGCGCAGGGAACAGTGGCAGCCGGAGCGGTCGCTGTAAAGGGGCCCTGGGTTTTCGTCTTCCCATCTTTTCCTAGACTCCCAGTATTTTCTCGTATT